CGGATGTAAGGAGTTTTGACCGATGCTCACATGATGCTGTTTTCTAAGGGGCTCCCCAAAAAAAACCTTGGTTTTGAAAAGGCCCCCTATATGTTGCGGTCTTTTTCTGTTGTCAGCTTCCCGCGTTCTGAGAGAGGCCATTGCAAGGCTAGAATTTTTTTCGGCAAATCACCAAAATCAGCCGTATTTTCAGAGGCACATTGTGATTTTTGTCCTTGTTTACTAAGGCCACGAACATCTTCATTTGCCTGGAGACTTGGGGGTACTCCTTGAGCTACATAGTCGGCGCATCCATGAACATCAGCACCTTGGCCAGGAACGCACGCATGTTTGCAGATAATGTCGGCGGGTTTCGAGTATCTCCTTGAACCCCCTACCCTCTCCTTGCAATGCCCATGGAGGTTGGGGCCCCCCAAAACTTTAAGTGCTGATGCCCCACGAATTTGTAGGTAGCTCTGATCATTGTGCTTTATCACCCCTATATTATAGCCCTATATACTACATAATGGTTTCCACTTTATTTTCCAGAATCCTTATATTCCCCCATATTATGAAGTCTTGGCTTTGTCCCCTGCAAAGTTTTAAGTTGACACGTCGCTGGCTTGAGTCTACCAACCCCTTGGTACACAGTTTGACAATTTAAGGTGTAGGCTTTGAAGCCAAGGTTTCAGGGTTTAGGCTTCAGAGTTTAGGTTTCAGGAATCACGAAATGGATTAGCGTTCCAGATGTGGAGCTTGGGGCTCAGGCATTTTGGATTGCAGGGCGATAGGCTTTGATCGTAAATCTTAATGCCAGACTGGAAGCTTCACAAAATGAAGGGGCCAGAGTACTTAGCCGGTATGTCCAGATTTTAAGTGAGAAGGGAACAGACGTTTTTGAGAATTTGCATTTCCGTCTTGAGGTCAGTTGGTTGGCGATGACACCTCGACCAACTGGAGCTCCGGGCAGGGGATCAGATGTTGTGTTCTTGTGGGACAGGTACTGCAGATGCGCCGCGTTCAGAGGGACAACGGTTCTTGAAACCCCCCGTTCAAGGCTTGAACGCTTACGATCCCTTTTCCTGGTGATCCCTCTTTGCAATCCACATTCAGAACGCGAATGTTCCATTGTTGCACTTGAATCCTACACCCTCCATGACACTACCTGCTAGAATCACAAGCTCTTGTGAACATTTTTCACCTTGGAAGCTTTTGGCGGCTCGGAACTCTCACAACCCAAAAGCCCGCAGAGCTAGGAAACCCTTTTGGTAGTGTGGAGGATATCAAACCGTCATATGTACAAGCCGTACAGAACTATGATAGCAACCTTTCAGACCCCATGTTATTCGCTTTGCCCTTATACCGTGCCAATGTGGCTCTTCGGTTAGATATGTAAGATAAAGTCTTCCAATGTGTTCAACATGCTAGGGTTCTGTCGGCATCATTCCAGGAAAAACGGCTTCAAACATTGAGTGTATTCTTGAGGCCCCATAATGTACCATACGTCGGATTGGAAGGGTTGTGCTGTCGACCAGTATTGTGGAATGTATTGGTACACGCATTGTTTGCTAGCTCCCCTTCTTTCAGCGAAAGGTGTTTTTTGGCAGGCTGGTCTCGTTAGGATAGTGGAGAAGATTTCGGATGTCCGTGCCTTCCACAGCCTTCTACACGAGACCGCGCCTTGTGGGAGGACTGGGATCTTGGTATCTGTGATATTCGCATATGCGCTCTCCTGCAACCAGCTGCGCAATTTGACTGTCGCCGGCATTCTTTCCAACATTGCACCTTGACAGAAAGCTATCATAGCAGAAGTGTCTTCAAGTCCGCTTCGGGACTGAAGTTCTTGTGTTCGGTATTTGGAGTAGCCAAGCGGGATTGGGGAAAAGTGTCCAAACAGTTCAATGACCTATTCAGCATGAGTCGCAGCTGCCTCTTGCCTGAGGTCAACCTGATGTGTTTAGCTCCTTGGCTGAATTCGAATTCCTTGCCTTGCATGCCTCAGCCAAACTCCCCTGAGCACAACAAAAAGCCAAACTCCTGCAAACCTGCACCTCAACCACGCATCCTTCAACCTTACCATCTTGGAAGCATAGTCCTTTGTGATGTGCCCAGACTGTTTTTTAATACAGGTCATTGTTGCAGGCTCCAGGATACGCGGGTGCCTGCTAGAGAGGGGTCTCAGGTACACGGTGCAGGAAGGCCTGTCTCATTTGGACTTTCAGTACATTCCAATGCATTCCGAATAGTTGGAACACGGTAACCTGATGATATATGCAACTTGTCCTTTCTCCTGGGCCTACGTCTATGGTAGAGAATGCTGATGTTCCACCCTTCTGACTCCCATTCTCACGTGCACGGAGGTCATGCTTCTGGTATCGGGGCTTCTGCAGCCTGAGACCCTTGGCAACTGTTGTTGCTTTTATGTTTCCTTCACGGGGTGTTGCAGGTATCAGATTTGTTTGAACAGTTCGGGCACCATGAAGTCCGCAGTGTGCTTATAGCCCCAGTAACATGTGGCCACCGCATGTTCTGTGCAAAGCCCCCCAAATACGTTTGAAGGAGCCACCTAGCACTCTCAGCCCTTCACCCTCAACTGAAGCCTAAACCCCAATCCGTACACCTGAGCCCTAAGTTTTAGGAATGCCTGGAGCCCAAAGGAAGCCATGTCTAACCCAGCTGCGTTTCTTCGATGGCCGGGGCCTCTTTTCCGTGGCCGGGATCCTGGTTTTCAGCCCTGCAGCGAACCTGGGCAAAACAGCATTAATTTTACATAAGTAAAGGCTGGAGAATAGAAGTGCTGGTAATAGTAACACGATCAATACTCGCAAAGATGGCAACATATAAGTACTGTTACGATAAGTAATTGCTAGGAACACCAGTAAACCATTTTTCCTTTTTTTTTCATTTTGGGGTCTCCTTATTAAAGCTGAACATAAAGAAAAAGGGTACCCTTATTATTATTATGGGGTTACTAGGGAACCTAGAGTAAGAGCCATTCTTACTCAATGTCAACTCTTTCGAGTTAGTTGAGATTGACAAGCAGCACTTACACCCCGAACCTTGCGACGCTGGACGGGATACTTCCATTTTCTGAGTGGTTAGAGACTGCCGTGAGACCCTGGAAGCCAAAGGCATCCTTTTTACAGAGCCGCTTGGAACTGCTGAACATCTCTTGGTTGAGCCCCTTTGCTCTGAATTCCAGGCATGCTTTTTTCCCAGATCTCCAGCGGCGTTTGCGACATCCACAGAGTTTCTCGCGCTGTCTTCGTTCCTGGGCTCTGTGCAAGAGAGAGCTGTCAGTCTTCAGGTGTTTATTTGTTGAGCAGGGAGGTGCAGGATTTTGTCGTATTAGGATTTACGGCTTGGCAGGTAAGAGCTTAAGGCTTGCGCGCCTGAGTGAACATCAAGGAGCGGAAAGCACTAACCCAAAGGGGCTCATAAATTTCAGGGCAACCCATAGAATCCTGCAGGAGCCCCGCCTTCTGAACCCTGTGCCCCACGTCCTATAGCTTCAACCCCGAGGCTTGTCCGAGCTATAGTCTAAACTCCTCAAAGGGGAATGCTAGGAGTTTAGACTATGGCTCTTATGGAAGGACTTAAGCCCCCAACCATCCCTTCGACCCTTTGTTTTAGATTTGACTTTTGAGTTGAAGCTTGGTGTTAGACGTCAAACTTTACTCCGATAGGATTTTTTCTCTACTGCGGTTTCGTGTGTTGCGAATCTTTTGAGAGCTGATTACACACACATTATATTGCCAGGAATTCAGGCGCCCAACAGTAATTGCGAATGCCCTATTTATGTTTCATTCAGGCAGCTGAAATTGTGGTCCAGGGGAGAAGAGGGGTTGGCGTAAACAGGGCAACTTGAGTGGCTACTAATTACCCAGACCCACAAGGATAATCTTATGACCTATGCAGACTCTTTTCATCCCCTTCCCGAAGTATTCTGCATGCTCTGAATGCACGCTTGAATTCTGATTTGCAAGTACAGCTGCCTGTTCCCCGGAGGCCGGCGTGCCTTTTTGGGGCTGTCCTTCCCAGAGCAGTAAAGATAGGATCCTTATTGCTTTACATGATTTCATATGAGAAATGCCCAGAAGTGTGCCTTTCAAGATCCGAGAGACGGAAAGATCCTCACAAAGCCCGCAAAACCCTGCACGTCCCTGGGATCTTTGATGGTACGCCTACTGTGCGAACCCCATATGAAGCTGAGGTCAAGCCTACGGCATGGCTGGTGTGTTGTATCTCCTGGTGGGTGTGGCTGGCTCCACGACTGCTTTCGTGATATTTGGGGGCTAGGGGGCCCTCCTCATGACGTGAGTAATGCTCCAAAGAGCATGCAGAGAGCTTTCATTGATGAAGTAGATACGAAGTAAAGATGAAGTAGAAGAGAGTGTTCATGCACGGAGTTTGTCTGAAATTTGTATTGATTAAGGTGCCATAAAATAGGTGATGCACGGGCCCGGGGCCGTTTGCAGAACTGGGGGCCTCATATCGTGATTCTAGTAGGAGATCTTTGTATAATGGCTGTCGGCCGCTGCGCTAATGAGATTGCAGGCCTTTTTGAGTTTGATCGACTTGTTCGGGAGGGATGGCAAATGGGCTGCACGTTGACGGGGTCCATCCTGAGCGTATCCATGGCACATCCAACTGCACCCTGCCTCGAGCTATCGTGTCATGCTCTCATCTCCTTAGATGGAAGTAGCAGAAAACAGTTCTGAAGGTTAGAAAAAATTGACCGAATCTTGGTGCTGCAGGATGGCTGCAGAGTCTTGCGCATGCTGCCTCATGCAAATCGCAACATAAAATCCCTGAAACAAATTCCGGGCGCTGGTCTGCTGTAAGAATCTCTGCAATCATTGAGGCCAAAAGATCCAAACTAAAAGCCTACAGTCACTATCCCATTTTGCAGAGGCTACTTCCTCTTTGGGGACGCAGCTCAACCATGCGCAATTCAGAACGTGGGCTGGACGCGGGACTTCAAGCGACCGGACAAGAGATTGGACGCGATGACAATGGCTTGGGAATTCGTTTTCAAATTTATCTACACCCCAAAAGTAGATAAAATAACAGCCCTAAACCCATGAAAGCAGCCCTTAGGGCCATTATTTTACATACTTTTGGGGGTAATTCTTTCACTGCCGGACTTCGTGGAGTTTCAGGGTTCATATTTTGCCTTCTTGTAAGGCTTTAGGGGTTTAGGGTTTAGGGTTGAGATAATGCAGGAGGGTTTTGGCGGGAGGTTAGAGCCCCAGCTTCAAATCGAGGAGCTTGGATTCGAAACTTAAATTGCTTCTGTTTGCCGTAACAGTGTTGTACTTGCGTTGCGATCAGGGAATGCGGAGGATATCCAGGTTCTGATTTTTTGTCGGCCGGGGAGCGGTTTCTATAGAACTTCCTACTGGACAATAGCTTTTGTAGTCTTTATTCAGGTGAGGCATATTCACCCATGGCATACCCTAAACCCTAGACCCTGGGCTTATAACTCAAGGGGTCCAAGATAGATCAGGATAGGCTCCTTGCCGATGAGGAAGTCTTTCCTCGAAAATTAATGTTTGCTTCGCCCCATACTTGTAAAAGCATTAGTTTTAGTAAGAGCAGCAGCCAAAGGAGTAATTTAGTAATTATTAAAGCATCGCAATAGTGATCATGCTAAGCATGTCTCCCGTTTCATTAGACGGATGCTTCATCTCTTGGGGGTGGGGGTTTGTTGAATACGGGGCGAAGGTGGACAAATTTTATCTCTTCAGAACTTCAGAGTTTGCTCAATGTCAGAATACAGTCAGCAGATATGCAGCATGGGCAAGTCCATCCATGCGCATGTTTCCTTCAACCATGTGCCAGCCTCACATCATCACTTCGTGTGCCGAAGGCTGACTGACCAAGCGTGTATCCAGGGTGGAACTTGCGAGCAATCCCAGGTACCTGATCTCACATAGCCTCCACATGGATCACAGCCTGAGCTTAAAACCTTCCACGCCGAAACCTAAGCCTTCATCCCAAGATGCGACCACCTATGAGTAGACGAAGATTGACTTCACTCAGGCCCCTGCCAAATATGCATTGGATGGCAGTGGCAGCTGCAGCTGGAGCCCCAGCAATCCGGGGCACGGGAGGTGTAGGGCTGGAGGCGTAGGGACCAGGACTTCCCGTATCAAGCCTCATAGCATTTAGGAAAGAGAGCTCGGAGATTTGAATTTTGGAGAACTTTCAAACATGGCTCCTCTTGGGATGCAATGTGGAGCAACTCCCATTTGCAGGTGTTTGCCCCAGCAAATCCAGCTGACCGTTACATGCTTGCGTCTCAGGCTGGCATGGTCATTCGCCTTCTGCTCATGCAGGCACGACTGTTAAACTTTGTTCAAAAGATGCCGCGCAGTCGAGTGCGGACATAAAGGCACACGGCCCGTGAGCAGTGTTGCATGTGGGTGCACGATGCACTTTGTAGCTTGCAAATTTTAGCCACATTTCCTGGTAACAGAATGAGCCGAGAACGGCTGTCCCGAAAACGTTTTGAGGAGCGAGTGCTCCTTCATCCAGACATGCATCGAAACATCGTTCCATGCATCCACGACTACTCTTCCTGTTAATTTCCAGTCTTATGACTGTCATTGCTATTACTAGTTTCACTGTCAGTATTGTTATCTTGTTACTGTTGTTATGAGTATTACAATTATTATTCATCATTCTTGCAATTACTATTAATTTTATTAAGGTTATTACTTTTTCAGTATTTTTAGATTGCTATCAAATTTCTTGCTGTTATCATTATTAATATCCTTTGTACTAATACGTACTGTCATCGTTATTAACATGGTTACTATTGATAACTATAGTTATTGATCATCTGTGAATCAATATTAATCGTTTTATCATTGCTTGTTTCATGTTTGCTATAACTCTTGGTATTCTTAAGCATTTTTATATGCTTACAAGTACTGTTATTGTGACTATTATTACCATTACTGCTACTATCATCATGGTCACCAGTATTAATGCTGTTATCGTGTTTCACGCAAGGCCTCATCCCGAAGGGGGAGGTTCCCAAATAACTCCAGTTTTCAGGCGTTTTGAAAAGAGAATGTGCAGGCACATCTATGTAGTTACTGCCGAGCGACGACTTGTTCTGCATGTGCTCTTGGTTAGCTTCCGAATTCGCGCAACGCTCCCGGTCTTAGGTGCAGGCGGCTTTTCCCTTGGGGTTACTTGTTGTGAGCGTGATTGTAGGCAGAAAAGTTGCCGTTGCGTACGGACACACAGCTGCGCAGAGGCTTTCGTCCTTCCGACGTTGTGCTCTACAGTGCAAGCCCTGCTTTGCTGCCCGGCCGGCTTACAAGGCAGCACCAATGAGATGGTAGGTCGGAAGAAGATACAGTACCTCCTTGGAATCCTACCAGGGGGTTTCATTCTATGATGGTTTCTGAGGCGTTATGTGGTGAGGACGTGTTTGTAGCTAGCACATGACCAACAGCTCCTTTGTGCGCCGAGTTTTAGCCCCTCCTCAGTGCATTCAGGTATCGGGCGTCGCCTGCATTACGATGTCTTCAAACAACAGCTGAAGAACCCCATTGATGCCCAGTTGGCAGGTTTTTGGATGTTGTTCAAGAAGTAGGCCTTGGGTCCAAGGCTTATCGTTGCCCACGTGGCTCTGAGATTTGCATCCTTCAACCTAAACTCTTGAAGCCTGAAGCCATTTCTCTTCGCCCCAATACGAGACTCTTGAACCTCAAGCATGTTGCAGGCGTTTTGACCTCCTGCATATTGGCAGCTTCTGCAGGCCACGAGGGCCTTGTTTGGGCAGTGGGTAGGGAGTTAAGGGAGCGGCAGATGAAGCGTCAAAGGCTGTTTGAACATGAAGTACAGCAGAGATGCTGATCCCAGGGTTGCGGGATGCATGTTTCACCCAAAAACTCGTACACAATCTGCGAGCCCCGGATGAATGAGCGAACCAACTCATGTCGCGGGTTGCTGAGGTGTTTTCTGAAGTTTTGTTTTGCCAACTGTAGAATTTTACTTCCCTTGTCATCGTCGGGTAAGTTTCTGTTCTCCCCACATGCCCTCGTCATGCTTGCAATGCCTATAACAGCCTGATATTCCCCACTGATATAGTTGTTTCCAGTGTCCTTTCATTCCTCCATTGCCTGTTCACAACCAAGTAGTTTAAAACGTACCTCCATACGTTCCTTCTTTGATCAACTTAGTATGCGGCACCCTGAACCGTGCAAGCTCTACGTCCCAACCCCCGCGAACCGGCCTTAGAGGCGGCAATCTTACATCCTAACCCAGACCCATGATCAATAAACCCCCTCCCCTTAATTAATAGGGAGTATGATAGGGATCCTAATATTTAGGCCATTAAAAGGAGGGGGTTTATTAAACATGGGTCTACATTAAACCTCGCAGTAAGATTTTCCAGCTCATTTGGAGGCAAAGCGTGCCACAAGAGCAGCAGCGACAACAACAATGATCACGATACCAACCTCTACTTCTTTTGTATCCCCAATCCCTAACAAATCCAAAGATCAGGCCCAGATCTCCATTTGCGGTTGCATCGTTGATCCCTTCACGCCAAAAAAGAAACACCCCCACCCCCAACCGCTTGTCTGAATTATGCACCCAAAACATAAGCCCTAAACCCTAAACCGGTATTGTATATAGGATCTTTTGGATTCGGAATGGGGGTGGTGAATATGAAAATGAACGGGCTACGAGGTGTCGCAGCTCTTTTTGCGAAGCAAGCAGCGTTGCTGCTTAACATTCTGGGCTGCACCATGTGCTCCAACATTGCGGGGGGCCTCAGATGTATGAGTTTCTCAAAGTTGCCCCTGTGGCGATTTCCTTAATTTCGTCCTACTAGGGGTCCTTAGGGGTCCTATTATATGACAGGTCTCCATAAATATATATATATATTTATTTATATGTCTTCCCACTTTTTGAACAGTAATTCAGGTCAAGTCCCCTACGGTCCTGAATTGGGATTCCCAGACTCCCGCCCCTCAGGGTACATACCCCAATCCCGAAGCTCCAACACCTTGTGCGGGTGTGTGCGTATGTTTATGTACATATGTATATATTTGTATATATATATATATGTGTACCTACATCTCCCTATATGTCCCGTGTATATATACACACCTACATCTCCCGTATAGAGCTGCTTTAAGGGGATTCGATGCCCCCAGCTTTTGTGTTCATATGCCTGCCCCCTTTGTTGGTGTTCATATGCCTGTGTGCTCCCTCGCGCTAAGGTGAGTTGTTGCGCTCCAGTCTAGATTGGGCTTACGCATTTTAGCGCCGCAGCTCCTGTGAAACCGTCTGTGCAGGAACCCAGTATTTGCAGAAGGGCGTGTATATTAAGAGGCCGTTTGCGCATGTATTGCACATGAGGTGAAGGGATTCGGTTGTTTGCCGACAAGCGCTGGGAAAGGGTAGCCTTGCAACTTCTGAGGCTGGACGTTTTCCCAAATTCGCAAGTGCTTAGGTCGGTAGAATGGTAGGTATACGCAAGTTTCTCAAACTGATCCATATCTAGCCACTAACCGGATCCTTCATGGGCTCCTGGCAAATCGTACAATTACACCCTTCTTGCAGAAACCACCAGCTCACGCAAACCTGCCGAGCATTGTCCGTCGCATAACGATAACCGGTTGTAGGTCACTGAATGTCATTGAGTTTTCTCTAGCTTGTCGATCCCTTGACATCAGAAATTCTAAACCTCTAGCTGTGCTGAGGCATTCACAATGCCTGTCGCTTGCTACTGGCAGCTTTCGAGGCCGTTCTGATGAAGCATGGTCAGGTATATGAAGGCATAGGAGCCTTTCCACGCAACAAAGTGACGATATGGAATTGCATTTGAACGCACGAGAACTGTTGTCCAAAATGGCAACACCCTCAAACCCTGAGCGCTGAGAAGATTTGCTGCAGCGGCCAGGCAGTCGCGCAGACTGCCGTGGTATGAGAAGGCTTGGAGTGCAAGTGCTAATATATAGGGGCCTAAATAATCCTCAGGACTACATACGGGTTATATAGGGTATAGGGTTGTATATTATCCCAATGGTGCAGAATCAAATTGAAAAGAAAACGGAGAATGAATAGGAAAGCTGTGGGTTATATAGGGGGTTGTAGGGATGAGTGCCAATTGTGACCCGAAATTCCGAATAAAAATGGACCTCAGATGTATTTGAAAATTATGTAGGCACCCCGTTTAGGCACCACATGGTGGCCCCTTGCTGAGAACTCTTGAGAATGCTAAGCTGCCAGGAAGTGCAACAGCGTACATGACGTGACTGATTTTGACAACAGCTTGCATGAGATTGTTATTTGTTTGCAGCATTTGGGTTGAAAGCTCAAGGGTTTGAGGCTCAGGGTCCCAGAATACCGAATCTGTGCCACCTGGACTTGCCTGCCACGCGCTCTCCATCTAACATCATGATTTGAGCCGGGCTGGAGGGTCAGTGTGAGGCTAGGTGATTGGCTTTCAAGGGTGTTGTGGGGTTCGGCACACTTGCAGCGGGTAGCGCAGCACAAATCATAAAGTTCTGAGTGGTTTCCAGCGGAGAGCCATCCTTGAAGTTGAGTTTCTTGAGCACCATGCAAGTATCTAAGATTTAAAGGTAACTGCAGGAGTTTAAGGGTTAATGGAAAAATGGAAACTACTATATTATAGGGTGTTATAGGATTAATCCGTTCCCCATATTAATACAACCCACCCTAATAACAAATAATAAATCCGGGACC